CCGGTCAAATATCGGTGTTAGCTTGCTTGTTGAAGCCCTTGTTTTCTATCATGTGATCCCATTCAGACGATTGGAGTCAACCTCATAACAAGCGCTTGTTCCATAACTACGACAAGGCTTGTGGATTATTGAAGAAAGCATATCCTGTGAAACAGGATGTCATGTTTAATGTTGGTAGTGATGTTCTATTCTCATGTCTCTTGGGTTTTGAATGTAGATTGGTGAATTGTGAAATATTTTTTGTTGCAATAAGGTTCAGCTAACTAGTTTGTTATCTTAATTGATGTGTTTATAGTTGAGTGAGTGTTGCCTCTTGTGGCATGTGATGAATGTACCAGATACTGTAATGTTTTAACCTAGATAATGTTCTGTGGTTAAAACAAGGAGTTATTATGAATAGAAACAATCGGCTCAACTCGGATCATGTGACCTAATGGGTGTAAATTGTTCACAGTATAGTTGAGCATGTGTGTTGCCTGAGTTAATATTGAATAATGTTGGTTGGATCACCAGTAATCTTACAAATTGATTGAACATTGAACTTGAAAATATTGCCACAATGGTAATTTGGTAATGCTCAAAAAGGCACTGGCACTAATTTTCAGGAAATGTTGGACCAGGGCCCCTACATACCTACGGCCTGTTTAGGTATGCACGAGTCTTTGATCACAAACTGCGAGTGTTTCTAGAACTCCTCATTGGAGCTAATTATTTGATTAAAAGATTATTTTGCTCATTTTATAAGAAAAAAAAAGTTCTTTGTGATTTACAAACATTATTCGACAACAAATTCAAGGGCCTATGTGAAGAATAAAAGATTTTATTTTCCAGTCAAAGATAATGCTGTTCCTACCATAATGTTTAAGCGTCTCTCAAATTTGTGCCAGTCTCAAATAAACGTTGTACGAAACATGAATCTTCCATAACCATAATTGGTTGGATTCCATCAATCTTTTTAATTGTCTTTAAGCAGAGCTACATATGATTGTATAGAATATTGAGTTAGTTTTGTTTACATTTTGTTATATTATTATTTAAACATATAACCTTGACATACATTGCAGCAGGATGTATTTTAATAACAAAAACTATCAAGGGTGATGGAATGGATGCCATCTCACAGAAATTTATAATTTTGACATTTTAGTAGGGTTTGGGGTGGGAGGGAGGGGAGTGGGAGATTCTGCTATCCCTGAACAACATTTGCATATCCATCCCATGGTTTTGCTGGTTGCATAGTGCTTATT